CTGAAAATTTCTGAATTTCTTTTGTTTTTCAAAATAAAGATAATTTTAGAAATAAAAGGGAAAAATGAAAAACAAAAACTAAGCCAAAACTAAAAACTGAAACACTATGTACATTGGCTACCGCTAAATGGTGGTTTGGTTTCCTGTGTGTGAAAGCATAACTTGAAGCAATAACCCCTATTTGATGCGTAGTGTGTCAAATTGGTGGCCAATCTCATAGAAGTCATCACTGAGCCGACCCAATTGGCCATCGAGGTTGTAGTGATTCATTCGACTTGAGCGATTTTCTTCCTGGTTTTCTAGTGGGGTTTTTATTCTACTCTTTATTAGGTGGTATATATATTTGGTTTTGAGAAAGGGAAACGATTGCAGCCGGTCGACCGGCTGCGTGTTCCGCCGGTCGCGCACGCACGTGGCCTGGACCCACGGGTGCTGCTCTGTCACCGCATACCTCGCGCCGACTCGGTCTTGTGTATCCTCACAACAGCACGTCACACCAGCCACGTGCTCATTGTGTGTGGGCCACACACAAGTCTTATCTCTTCCTCAAACCTCTCACAACCACTCGTTTCCTCAGCTACGTTATCCAATCTCTCTTGCACTCGTGCCGCCTCCTGTGTTCTTTTCCAACCGGCATGGATGAGCTTCACCTCCCCACATCTCTCCTACCTCCTGCCCAATAGAGAGATGCCGATGGGTGCAACTTGGAGACGAGTTATATGTTGCAACCAGCAGCTAGAATGCTACGAACGTCGGCGATGCGGGCCTGCGCGACCGGCGGGGTCGATGCTACAACCGTAGACGCGTCTTGCTACTAGCGTCGAAATTAAAAGCTTCAACCTGTTGCAGAGAAAGCTTCAACCCGGCCACCGCGCACCAGCAAAGCTGCAACCGTCGAAAGAAAAAGCTTCAACCGCTACATAGTAAGCTTCAACCCGGCCACCGCGCCGTCGGCAAAAGCTTCATCCAGGGGCACCGCACAACACGCAAAGCTGCAACCGTCGAAAGAAAAAGCTTCCACCGCGCAACCGCCGAAGCTGCAACCGTCCAAGGAAAAAGCTTCAACTACTACAGAGAAAGCTTCGACCATAACGGCGAGCGGACGGTGCACACGGAGGTTTTTTGCACCCACGACGGCAGGGAGCTTTGGGACGAGCCGACGAGCTCAACGAGTGCGCCCTCCTGGCAGCATCCAAATGGAGAGTCGTAGCAAAAGGAGCCAGTGACAGGAGCCGGCCATCCCAGCAGCGGAGGTTGGGCGCGGTCAATGGTGGTCCAGGGGGAGGGGGAGGTAGAGGGAGATAAGAGGGGAGGGAAGAGTCGCGCTCGGGAGCTTGTCCCATCTCCTATGGCGGTCTAAAAGGAAAGGAAACGAGATAGACGATGGAAGGAGAGAGAGAAGAGGCTATCGCTAATGTGAACGAGTGGGCGCAGGGGAATCGAACGACCATCAGTTAATTAATCAGACGGCCGCGCTGCGACCGGCGTAAATTTGGGCCGGCGCGCCGGCGCCTATCACCGCCCTTTGAGAAAACAAGAATTTTTATT